ACTTTTCCAGCTGGCTTTAGTTTTGATTTTGGTTTTGGGTGTTTGGGTTTGGTTTTGTTTGTTTGTTTGTTTTTGGGGTTTTTTTGTTAAATTTCTCATAGCTGTGAATAGCACCACAGAGTCTGGCAGCCAAGACGTTGCCCATGAGCTACTGACTATAATCTACTTTTTTCGAGGGAACGATGGTAAGAACAGGAATCCTAGGTCTAGCCCCTCTTCCTGATTCTGCCAATGTTCTGTTCTGTGCCTCTGCTTCCTTCTTTGTCCTGTAAAGATAATATTTATTTTCCTCTTTTCACTAACGGAATACAACTATTTGATCACAAAACAGTTGAAGAAGTGTTGATCTCTTACTCAAAACACTGATTCATTATTTGCAAAGAGTCAGTTTATGGCCTCTAAGTTGTGGTCATATGTCCTGTCATCTGCAGCTGGACCACTGTAAAAGCTGAATGCTCCAGCTGTTCACTGCTACTGGCATAATTGCTCTCTAGCCTTTCCTCACAGAATAATCAGAGTTAACTTGCACATGTTTAGCAGGAGGATTTTTCTAACCTGCCTTGTTTACAGAGAACCTAGCTAGGGAGTGGTTACACAGGTAGTTACACTAGCAAATGGGTGGGGTAAAGTATTCTCCAGTGGTGGAACAGAGGAGAACAGCTGGCAAAGTCACCTCTTCTCTCAGCTCAGCTGAAACCAAACCAGGGCTGGAGACTTAGTCACAGCTGAACTGTTCTTTGAAGCAAAAGTAACTTCACACAAATTAATAGAGCCACTAATCACATCTCTTTGAGTAGCAGGTGCAGAAACTGACCCAAAACAGTTACTGTTGTTGACAGAATCATTTCTTGTCATGTAGACAGTTGTTGAGTTGGCTGTTCCCAAAGAGAAAATCTACAGGCTCATTAATAGCTCCACACCAAATACAGCTTAGTTCCTTGAGATAGGTACCGGATACACAAGCCTAGAAACTGAAGCACTCTGGATGCCCATGGAGCAGATGCAGTCCAGGAAGCTCCCCTATGCAGTAAGGTTTTTTTGAGGATCACTTCTAAAGATGAGAGAACAACTCCTCCTCTAAAACATTAATCTTGTTAGCAATCTGATAAAACTGCTGACCAAATTGTCACTCACTGACATTTCAGTGATAGGTATCTATTCACCAGAAATTAGGTTTATTGCACAGAGGCCAGAGAAAGCTTGCCAGGTCTTAATGCCTTTCAGCCATTACTGGCAATGCTGTGACTGTGCCCAAATGTGAAAGGCGGTGTATCACATTACCTCTGCTGGCTTCAGGGTTCGTTCGCTTCCTGTGCTCCATTAATGCATCCACTGAATGAAGCAATAAATACTGCATTTTTCTCTGCCCACTGCTTTTTAATTTGCTATTTAGAAACATTATTAGTCAAAATGAGGGTATTACAAATAATCCCACCCACCTTGCAGCACTAATACACAACTAGACAGAAGCACTGGTTTTCTCTTGCTTCTCAAGTGCAGCAAACTGAGGTTTTTCTCAAAAGTTACTGTGAAAAAGTATTTTCTTTTTTTGTGGAAAAAGGGGTTTCATTATGGATCTTGAACAGAAAAGAAAATATCTGGCAATACTAAAATAACAGATTTTGAGTTGATACATCTATGCTAAGATTTCTTTTTTTTTTCCCCCTCCAAACCCCCTCCATTTAGGGAAAATGTTAAAATAATTTAACAATTCCATCATGATTCAGGGGAAATTCATCACAAACTGATGTCTCAGACCTTGCCAAGGCATGAAACGCCTATTTTGTACCAGCTTTACAAATCTTTTGCACTGCAGTTGATTGGAGAACACTGGAACTTTAACCTGGATTAACTATTCTAGAATCTGTCACAACCATTCCCTTTCCCTATTCTGATACTTCTCTTACTCCTTGCAGAATACACTTAAAAGTGTCTTAGAGTCTGTACGTTCCAAATAAGTTCTGTATTTCTGAGCAAGTATTCCCAAAGCTACTAACCTTTCTTTCCCCCTGCCCCCATGTCAAACAGTGATAACCATCATTTCATCTTACAAGTTTAAAATATTATTTTTATTAGAGACAAACAAGCTAGTTTACTGGTTTACGCTTCTCTAACTACAGCATTATAGCAAATTTAAACCATTTCTTAGAGATATGTATTTGTGTATTTGATGTACAATGAGTATGTATGAATGTATGGTAAATTTACCAGCATTGACTGGACTAGATTATAACTTAGACAGGTTTGCACCGACAAGTTAAAAAGAACTATACTTCCAGACTGAGAATCAGATATTCCTTAATTCACTGCATGACAACCTACCAATAATCCCATAGCTCTGTGATATTCTGGATGATTTCTTTTGCTACTTGATACTTTTGGCTCTCCTATAGGAGGCTCATGCAATTTCATCATAAGCTTTTTGTGTGGAAAAGGTGAGTTTGAAAGCCTCAAACAATTCTGTGAAGAGTTCCAATTCTCTAAAGACAACCTTTATGGAACAACACCTTTGGCTTGAAGGAGACATTACCTGTAGTTCTCACCTGTATGCACTTTTACTGTGCTAGTGTTACTACACATTTCCTTTCAAATTTCGCCGCATGCCCCTTTTCTCCTTTTTATCAGATAGTTGCAATAGAGTTACTTTTTAAACAAGTCTTTTTTATTATCATAGATTTGACTAATTTTCCTACAGTTTCTCTTCATAAATGTTTTACTAAGTAGTTCCCTTTCTGCTATATACTGAGCTTCCTAGCTTTAATGGAAACAAAATGCATTATTTTGCCCAGGGAGGTTATGGAGTTTCCATCCTTGGAGCTATTCAAAAGCTGTCTGGACATGGTCCTGGGCAACCAGATCTAGGTCGCCGTGCTTGAGCAGGGGCGTTGGACAAGATGACCTCCCTTCCAACTTTGAACAATCTGTGATTCTTTGAAATTAGAGAGCTAAACTAACAGGCAGGCTTGACTACACCTATCGTAGGTCTTCATTCACCCACTAGCACAATCCACAGCCAAGCACTAACCAAGTCAATATGTGGCAAGACCGTTACAGCTGCCCTTAACTTTCATTGATAATTGTTCTCCTTTAACTGACATAATATTCAATACACTGTTGTTAAATGTAGTAATGGTAAAATTCATGCCTCGAGGGCTACCATGTGATTGAGTTTTAGCCAGATAAATTGAACTCTGACCTAATGGTGTATTATAGGCCTTTACACCACTCAGATGCATAGGTCACAATCTCACTCAGTACAAACCTCTATGTAATTTTATTACAAGCCATTCTTGCATATATTAACATCATTCCAACAGATAATTAAAACAAAATCAATATAAGCCCAATTCTAGAACCTTTAAAACAAGAAAACTACTGATTTCAGTCTTCTTGACTGTAAGGGACACTGAATTACACTCTGCGCTTGTAATATATTACACCTAACTATTAATCGCATTTAGTAAACAGCAATTTTCTAATGTTATATCTTAAAAAGGATGCATTTTTTAACGCATATTCCTTTGCAAATCATATTTCTTCAGCCCTCTTCATCAGTAGCATTCAGAATCCAGGAATCTAAAATATGTTGCAATATGCATATAATGCCATTACAGTAGGTATCTACAGATATCTATCATATACCTATCTAGTTTATATATCATATGCAACATCTATAGATACATATCCATATATATATATCGTACAAACATCTATAGATACCTACTGTATAAATATCATGGATATATACTTATGTATAAGTTTTAGAATGGAAAAAATGGATTCTATTGTATTTGAACACATGTAACATTTAGCTTTTTACAAAAGAGATGCCTGAGAGAATCCTAAAACAATTAAAGAGCTTCATTCTGTATATATCCTAATAAGAATAACAGGATCTCATTATTAAAGTAATAGCCTTTTTATTACTCTTTCCCTAGGACTGTTCTACAATTCAGAACACTTTTCTGTGAGAATCTGTGTAATTAAGAACACAGAATATGAACGTTTCCATAGAATTACGTAAGGCTAAGCAATTTTTTCACATGAACGACAGAAAACTGAAGAGGAATTAAAAAATACCATCAGAATTCCTTAGAGCAGGACTAAAGATTCCCATATGTTCTCTATAGTGACAAGCACACTATCATTGCCTAAGAAAGTAAAGAAATAAATTGGAAACTAGAATTTTCAAATTTTTTCAGGTGTGTCCACTTCAATAACTGGATGACTTCTAGATGACGCAGAGCTCCCACAAAGTCAGTAGCAATTAAGAGAACTCAGAAGCATGTAGTGTTAGATTCTCAATCAGAAATAGTCTTATAAAATGTAATAATTCACTTCGGAACCCAACAGATGATGAAATTCTTCAGATAAGCAACCATACGAATTCATGACCATACTCATAAAGAATGCTTGTCCATATTACTGTTTACTTATGTTTTGTTTGCTCATCTTATCTTAACTAATCTGCACATAACACTTTATTTAAAACTACCTTTTAAAAATGGCCTTATAAACAGGATTTTCCTGTTTATACATGACACTGTAAGGATACCTGCCAACACAACTATGATCACAATGCCCATTTCATCTAGCCCTTATTAAGCATCTTGCTAGAGAAGAAAAGAAAAGATGAAGGAGCTGCTGACTTGGATCTTAGTTTCTTAAGTCAAACAGTAGCCCTTGAAAACTTGCCAGTTGCCTTTGATGACCAAATCAGGCTTGCAGCTAGCTAACCTCAGTATTTGCAGTATTTAAGGTATTTCCTACAATAAGCATAAGCAAGTACAAATAAATGCTATGGTATGAAGTAACCTGCATTTTTTTAGCTTAGGAAAAATTGAACATTTCATTTTGCCAACATCATCATTAGTCTTCAACATGCCACACTAAATTTACTTCATATCCTTCTACCTCTTTGGGTGCATGGTCACTACATCTGTACAAAAAAAATAATTCAGTTAACTGGGCTTGGAAACATGCTTTGCTTTATTTCCTACCTGAAGGATGTAGCCTCGAACATAGTCTCGCAGTGTCCAGCCTAAGCCATGTAGAATATGCAACACCTCCTCTTGCTTCAGTACACTGAAGAGTCGGTCAAGTAGGATCTTCAGTCTCACAGGCACAGCCTGAGTACCGTAGAGCATCAGGCTGCTGATGTCAAACACAACATTGGACTGCACAATCTCCACTTGGGTTGGGTGGTAGAGGTGCTGAGTACTAAGCTTGTCCAAGGCTGAAAGAAAATGGGTTAAGTATAAGAGAAGAGCTAAAGGAAAGACAAGAAAATAATCCCAAAGAATTATTTAAACACAATTAATTTTGCAGATGCAATTATTTTCCACAGAAATATCACCTGAATGATTCATAGAACCACAGAATCACAGCATGGTTTGGGCTGGAAAGGACCTTAAAGGTCATCTAGTCCTACCGCCCTGCAATGAGCAGGGACATCTTCAACTAGATTAAGTTGCTCAGAGCCCCATCCAACCTGACCTTGAATGCTTTCAGAGATGGGACATCTACCACCTCTCTGGGCAACCTGTTCCACTGTTTCACCACCCTCATCATAAAAAATTTCTTCCTTATATCTAGTCTGAATCTATCCTCTTATAGTTTAAAACCATTGCCCCTTGTCCTATCACAACAGGCCCTGCTAAAAAGTCTGTCCCCATCTTTCTTACCAGCCCCCTTTAAGCATTGAAAGGCTGCTATAAGGTCTCCCCAGAACCTCCTATTCTCCAGGTTGAACAACCCCAACTCTCTCAGTCTGTCCTCACAGGAGAGGCATTCCATCCCTCTGATCATTTTTGTGGCCCTCCTCTGGACCCACTCCCAACAGGTCCATGTCCATTTTGTACTGAGGACTCCAGAGCTGGACGCAGTACTCCAGGTGGGGTCTCACAAGAGTGGAGTAGAGCAGCAGAAACACCTCCCTCGACCTGCTGGCCACCCTTCTTTTGATGCAGCCAAGGATATGGTTGGTTTCTGGGCTGCAAGCACATATTGCCAGCTCATGTCCAGCTTTTCATCCACCAGTACCTGCAAGTCCTTCTTGGCAGGGCTGCTCTCAAACCCTTCATCCCTCAGCCTGTATTGATATTGGGGTTTGCCTCAACCCAGGTGCAGGACCTTGCACTTGGCCTCTTTGAGCTTCTTGAAGTTCACATGGGCCCACTTCCTGAGCTTATCCAGGTCCCTCTGAATGGCATCCTGTCCCTCGGGTGTGTCAACTGCACCACTCAATTTGGTGTCATCTGCAAATTTGCTGAGGGTGCACTCGATCGCACTGTCTATGTCATTGATGAAGATATTAAACAGTACCAGTCCCAATATAACCCTGAGGGACACCACTCATCACTGAGTCATTCTTTTTCACGGATGCAGTCCGAAACAGGCCTAGTTTCCAAAGATCACAATTAACTTTAATTCCTACAGCAGAAGGGTGCTCAGCTGAGCCCCAGAGACTACAATACTCCTAAGTTCAAAAGAAATTACAGAAAATTTATGATTAACTGATGAACAAAACTGAAGCTATTCAGAATTGATTTGGACTGTTAAAGGTTTGAGACTTAACTTCTAGGGGAATAAAAGAAAACAGATACACACTATACCCCAGCCTTTTAAACATGTTAAAAATTAGTCCCCTGATTTACCATAATTTCTATCATGAATTCACTGCTACTTGAGCTGGCTGGTTTTGTTTTACCCTTCTGTGTGAATTTCATGTTATTCATTGTGACGTGAATAATATAGAGATGAGGGAAGGAGAGGTTTGCAGGATGAAGGTAATTCTTATCCCCTTGTGAAGTTAAATATGATGGAACTGCACATGACATCACACGTTTTACTGAGTATCAATGTTTAAATTTAATTTTATTTCCATTTTATGGACTATGTTGCAGCACCTAAGCTTCTCACTGCTTTTTTAAAATAAAACTTTCTGAGCATTTAAAATAATTTTATAGGGACTTCTTCTCTCCTGTACTTTGGTTTCTTCTTGGTTTATGGTCACTGGAGAGTTCATGTACTCTTGATAAATTGCTTTCTTACATCCAGAGCGCAAAGGCCCTTATCATTTACTCACTGGCTTCATTCAACACGTTTACTCCAAGGAATACTTTGTCAAAGAGTTCTGGTTTCCTCATACTTCATTTCTTGCAACTGATTTGTCTGATCTTTCCTATTCTAGTGGTTAAGTCAACTTTGAATAAATAGCTTTAAATATTAATTTAACATTCAAAAAAGATAAGGAATTGGCAAGCCTAGGGACTGCAGTCTTATGTCTCTCCACAGGACATTTATACTGAAGAATGTGAAGGGTGCGATTTTTCTTCCAAAAGATCTTATTCCGAAGTACTTCAGCTATATAGGCTTCATGATGTGGGACTGATTTATTTACAAGGTCTAATGAATGGGATTTGATTGAAGCTTATCCAGGTCAAATACTTTCCTATATTTTTTTTGCCCCTTTTATGTATGATATTTTTGTAACATGGTTATTTTTCTACTACCGTAACAGATGTGTCATCAATGTACTCAGCTAGAAAAGCCTAGAAAATTGGTTTTGTTACTGTGCAGACTGTGCTGTATGTGTGCTGATACATATATATGTGTACCTGGGGGGCAGAGCAACCATTTGGAAGGAGTAAAAGAAAGTAAAATACTAGTATTCTTAAAAAAATACTACTACTACTTGCAATAAGAATGCTGTAAATAATATTAGTGTTAATAGATGTAACATGTTCTACCAGACTGTCAAAATAATTAAGCAGATCTGGATCACCTTGAGCTTTCCACCTTCAGTCTTACAGAATGAGAATGGGGTCCAAAGACATTAACTGGCTTCTCCACGTTTACACAAATTCAGACCAGAGTCAAGACATGAATGAATATTTTTGGAATATTCAATCCTTTTTAATCACTACATCATATATTTCTAATATATCTTAATATTTGTTTTCGTTTCTCTTTACTTAACAGTAAATCCTATGCCTGCAGTGGGGAAAAGCAAGTTCTTCCAGCTAAAGAAGACTTGGCTTGCTGAAGATTTTAAGGTCATGAGTCTACTTTGGCACTAGCCAGAATGGCTGTACGATATCTTTATCTAAAGACTATTGGGTGGATTATAAAACTAATAGATAGAATGAGAGTAAAAAACTCTGGACATTTACCCACGTTATGTAATGTGGTTATCCACTCCGAGGATAACAGCTTTGGAAAGGCCAAGATGGAATAGAAGTGAAAAAAGAAATAAAAAAGGTCCTTTTTAATGACTGAGCACACTCCTTGACCAGCAGACAGAAATTTTCACAAAATACCCTGTACTATTCCATTTATCTGCAACATGTTTTCAAGTGATGTTATCTATAGATCTGCTTCTCAAAACACACACACACACAAATAAGAGTTAGTCCACTGTTGGACTAACACTCCAAGTGACACTGAAATTATCTCCAATTTTGATTTCTGGCCTTATTCTGCACATTATGTAATAAACAAATAAGCAGTGAATTTTATCCTTTTGAAGTACAAGTCAGGATATGCACTGAAATGTGTAATTTATAACACAGCAAAGCATATATTTTTGCACGGATGTGTAAGAACATTTGCAAACTAAAGACAAACCTCATGCTACAGTCAGAAAAAAAAAAAGAAAGAAAAGGAAAAGTTGTACATGAAGAGAAAGGAAATACACTTGCACCCATAGAGAAATGATAGTATGGTAAGCACCTGAAAGTCTTTCAGATCATTGACTATTGAACCCCCTTGCACTTGGCAGGAGAATGAAACTTTTCACTATAATTTGTAATCTATAAAAATTACCTTGTTTCTTTAAAAGAGATTGCTAAGGAAATAGTTGACAGTGTATGATTTCATAAGTGCTTAGGAGACTTCAAGATGAAACATGCTATATAAAAGAATGAGCTTTATCATACCTGAAAAATGACATAAACAGATGTGTCCTTATTAAGAAGATATCAGTGACTGAACATCATAAACCACACATTAAAAGTCCCTTCCTGGTAGAGCATGAGGTATTACTCATACTTCTTACACTTTCAGTGGGCTCAAAAGTTCACCCAGAAAAGTCTTAACATGTTTGTGACTTTTTGGTTGTAACCTGCAGAGTCTTTTCCAAAAACATGACTATGATGGGCCTAGCTATGTGCTTAAACTAAGAAGGCTCCCTTTTAACAGCCCAATTCAATTCTTAGCACTGCTCTGATAGTCTGATATTCTTTATGTCAGTGTGAGTAGAAAACTGTTCACTGGTAGAGGAAGAAAAGATCTAATGAATTTTAAAACTCGCATACCTGCTGAGTAATCAAAATTTTTGTGGAACAGCCTAAAAAGGCCCTTGTGTTTTACTGTAACAACATACAGCCAAGGGATATTTCTGTGGTGAATCCTAAATTTCAAGTTCTTGTTTCAGAAAATTTAACTATTAAAAAGGGGGGGCAAAAAAGGATTATAAAGTAGAAGACGTTACAGAAGATTGCCTTCAACATCCCAAAATTACTAATTGGATAATTAGTATAGGAATTAGGAAACTTTCACTGCTGTTTTTCTTACCTAGCTCTAAAGTATCAAGTATGCACCATAATCATTTAGATAATTTAGAATATTTCAGTTGGAAGGACATACAACGATCATCTAGTCGAACTGCCTGACCACTTCAGGGCTGACCAACAGTTAAAGCATGTTATTAAGGGCATTGTCCAAATGCCTCTTAAACATATACAGGCTTGGCGCATTGACCACCTCTCTAGGAAGCCTGTTCCAGCGTTTGACCACCCTCTTGGTAAAGCCTGAACTCCCCATGTTGGCTTATCCTCTCTTTACCTTCTTGAATAGTAAATGAAACCCCCAGATTTTACAGAGACTCTGCTCAGTATAATCTGAATTGTAAAGAGAATTTTGAAATTGATATAATGTCAATCTTCACATTACAGCTTGCAGCATTCTTATTATGCAAAATTCCAGCAAAAAACTTTGGACCTATTTATAAAAAACTGATGAACAAACTTCTATGTTCCATTTGTGGGTTTGTTTTGCCTTTTTTTTAAAATGCAGTAAAATAGGGAGGGGAAATCTGCTTCACCATTTATATTTTACTGGAGTCTTGGGACCCTGTGTAATTCAAAGGAAATTAAGTACAAAAGATATATTAAAATAAGGCTCAAATACTTGTTCAATTTGTCAAAAGACAGAAAATAAAGACAAAATCTTTCA